TGGAGATTCAAACAAAGTCAATAACTTCTTATGAAAACAAGAAATATACACATTGATAAAAAATACACAAAAATGACAAAGTAAAACATCAAAGAATTATCAACAAAGATAAGATCTGTACGGCTTTAAAACCCTACTCCACCGGTCGCTCTGGGGCCATTTTACATCGGTTATTCTTAAAATATTTATTTGTCAACTATTAATCCCTAAAGCTTTACTCATGGCTTTAAATAGCGTGTGCTAGAGTTCTATTCAGCAATATATGTTTAAAACACACTCCTCTAATAATATTTTTTTTATACGACAAAATTTTCAAAATTACTATTGAACAACCTCGAACTTGCGAGATTTTGTGTCTAGTAGAGGGTTAATAATTATTCCTAATTAATTATTTCAACGTTTTCTTGTGGTATTTACCAACAGAACAATACCAAAACCACTATTATAACATAAATGGTTACTCTAAAATTCACAATTGTATTTACGTCACACCTCCAATTATTACTGCACAGGCCCCCCTCAATGCAAAAAATATTACTTTTTCCGACGGAAATGCGCATAGAAAGACGTAAACATTCTAATGCGCGCCGTTTCGGGTTACAATTACCATTAATTTTACGTTTTTTTCAAGTTTAAAACTTTTCTATACCTACACCAAGTATGGTGCAGTCGAAATCATATTTTTCAAAACATCACAGAGCCAGAGATGGAATGTATGACTGAAGGTACATGATAAACCAATACTAAGCCATTATAAGGGAGTTTATTGTAGTTCATTCCCCGTCTGAGTCACATGTCTGACTGGCGATTTTAAAATCGATGCTATTTATAGAACCGGCATTTTCAACAAAGCTGGAGTCCCTTTTTCGTAAAATATAGGACTCTACTACAAAACATTAATTGTAAAAGACCAATAATACCTTTTAGAGTTGGACTAGGCATGAGACATAAGTGGTACGACTGGATATATGTCATCCGGCATAGTAGGGTATATACATCGAATTTTATAAAAATGAACCGAAATTCTTTATACCTCCTTTAAACTATGGAATATTTTTTTTTAAATGTACCAATTATTGTTCGAGATGATTTCTTATAAGTATAAATTGTGAATAGGTTGTGAAAATACTACAAGTCTCTCCAAACAAATTTAGTTCAATATTACGGCTTGTCCGCGCGTGCAGTTTCATAAGAATCCCAAAATACGTGGTTGATATGTATGTGTATTGTTAAATTCACTAACTAATACAGTTTACAGGAGTTACAAGCAAAATATCAAGATTTCTCTCGCAAAATAAATTTGTTTTAAAAGAATATCAATTTCTGGTATATGTGATCTTTCACTCAATGAATGACAGTATTGTAACATAAAATAACAATTTGCTCTGAGTGTAATTTGAACCTATTCTTTGCAACGTCAACTTCTACCATTTTTTTTTTAGATTGTGACGGCCAGGAGATTCAATCAAAATCGAGAATAAAGAACAATATACACATCAGTGGGAAAATACGCAAAAATGAATCAAAAGAATGATCAGTCAAGATAAAATCTGTACGGGGTTAAATTTACATCCAATATTATCGACCAACACAATATGATATATTGCTACTATGTCATGAGATAAAGTAGTGTTTCAAAAGAAAAAACACAAATTTATCGCAAATAAATCTTTTGTAGAATATTAGAATGAGCTAAAATATCGTAATTAACCAAAAACTGAGATCCATGAATCACATTGGAAATTTCTTAAAACATTAACATTAATTAATAATGATGATAATATACACACAAAATGATATATTTGCAATTTTATAATAGGACAATTATAACAATGAGTAATAATTAAACAACTAAATGGCAATCCAAACAAAATATTCTCTACATGCACATAAAATATTGGCAATAAAAACTAACGAAAATGTCAGCCTACAGGTCCCAATGAAAGTGTGTAATTTTCTTGTGTAAAGGCAATTCAATGCACCACGATAATCTTGGATCTATGGATTAATTCTAAAGCAAAATCTGCCACATTTGCAGTTATATTTGGTTAATAAAAGTAAGCAAGTTTTGATAGTTTCTCACTAACTTATAAATTATGAGCGGATATATAAAATGGGATTTTTCAGCGTACAGACCAAGTTTACGGAGTATTTATACTAATCACTCATTTAATTCGTTTTTTTGGTAAATGGAGAATTGATACTGATTTTAATAAATTAGGTATTGTATATAAATTTCCGATATCTGAGTCGGAAGTCAAGTATCCATAGTTTTTTGTCAATTTGGAATCCATGCCAGCATTGGTACAGGATGATTTCTACTCTGATTTACAAATCTAAGTTTAGAAGTCGTAACCGAAACGGTCAACGTGACAAAATATAAATAAATTGTTCTCAGTACGCCAAGATTCATAAAAAATGCAACATCGGTATTTATGATTTTTGAAACTCTGATGAGAATTTCCGAATTTTGATTGTTGAAAATGGGAGAAATGGGTTTCTAAGTAGCAATGTGTGTGAATTTTCTTTTCGAGTATGGTTACAGCTCTATTGATGGTACATCCAAAACACAATTGATAATTTATGATAAAATATCGGATTTTTATGAATATCTCTGTACTTTTAGTGTAAAGGCCAACATCTAATATCAACTCATCGGCACGGCAAATGTGCACAAAAATTATAGTGAATGCCGAAACTTGGTATTTTGGTATGGACCTACTTTGAAACTATTCTTTGCTATACCAACTTCGTACAAATTTCTTTTGGGCTGCGTCAGTTCGAGATGGAAGCAAAATCAAAAAATTCTTACGAACACAAAAAAATATACACATTAGTGAAAAATTACACAATAAATGTTGAAGTAAAAAATATCAGGATCCATAGAGAATTAAGATTACATCAAATATTATTGTTTTTTTAAGTATATACCAAATTATCAATACGCAATATTTTAAAAATCAGATTGGGGGATGTATGAATCACAAAAGAACTTCTTGAAATACTAACATTGAATAATAATGTATACATCGAAAAAATTATTTTTGTACTTTTTAGCTTTCATAAAGTTTTCAAAATACAAATTTATAACTTGAGAGTAATACCAATAGGTGATGATTAAACAATTAAATGGGAATTCAAACAAAACAATCTTCTTATTTCTTGCACACAAAATATCGGCAATAAACTAACAGGTAAGGCGTGTGGAAATCATGTGATTGTTTAGTCAAAATGCAGTTGAATTAGCTTGGAAGAATCTATTTTGAAGGCATGATGTGCCAAAATCGTAAGTATGATTTATTAATAAAAGAATCTAGCATTCAAAACCGCTGTATATGAAATTTTTTTTTTAAATTCTAACAGACTATAGCACATTCTGACTTATTTCTCATTTTGGGTGACTTGGGGAGTAGTTTTACCTATTTCCATATGGTAGTCCATACTACTGGTGTCGTTCGTAATTTATAACATGAATATATATTATCTAAGTCGTAAATTAGTAGAATTTAAGTTTTGACAGAGAATGCAGCGTCTGTTGAAGAAGAGTATTTGTACATTCAAGTTCTTTTTAATCAAAAGTTGCATTTTCAAATATAGAATTATACAAGTCGGAAATATATAGTTAAAGAGTTTATTTTATGACTGTAAAATTTATGTGGCAAACTCATCAACTTGAAATAAAATTCATAAAACAGAAACAGAAAAGTTCAGTTATTTTGTTGCCTTTCAAATGTGTTAAACTTAGGTAGTAATAACAATAAATAATAAAAGCAAATATAGATACATAAGACATCTACAAAATTTTTATTGGTTTTTATTTTTTTGTTATAATGACACATAGAAATACAGATACCCACATCTACAAAATTTTTAGTGGTTTTTATTTTTTTGTTATAACGACACATACGGATACAGATACACACATCTACGAAATTTTTATTGGTTTTTATTTTTTGTTATAATTACACATATGAATACAGATACACACATCTACAAAATTTTTATTAGTTTTTATTTTTTGTTATAATGACACATAAGGATACAGATACACACATCTACAAAAATTTTATGGGTTTTCATTTTTTTTGTTATAATGACACATAGGATTACAGATACACACATCTACAAAATTTTTATCGGTTTTTATTATTTTTATAATGACACATAGGTTTACACACATCTACAAACATTTTATTGCCTTCTATTTTTCGTTATAATGAAACATAGTGATACAGATACACACATCTACAAAAACTTTTGTCCCTAATTCTGTTATAATGATGATACGATAAGCTAAGTGAAGTGAACCAGTCAACTATAATGTGAACATAGCAAATAGGTTTCACAAAGTCATGTTTATACAGTGATATCACCATGATTTGCACAACAACATCCAGCAATTTTCATATGTTATTTCAATTAACCTGACAAAATCATCAATTCTTTTTTCAAGCAACGAGCAGTGATCCGAGGACAACATCTTCCAATTTATCTATCTATTACATTTGATTCAATCCATAAAACTTTATAATTTTGCATATATGCTCTAATTTGAAGTTAGAATCAGGGGAAAAGTTTGAGGGATGTAAAATGCTCTATTCAATAACACAACAATTTCTGCCAGAAAACATTAAAATCGATAATCTGTGACATGAAATAAAAATGTTCATCAAAAAATGTTTAAACGTTTTAGTGAGTTTCTATGTTTTCGTAATCTGACGAAAAGAACATAAATTTTGTTGCCGTTCCTTTTAAACACTGGTTTCGCATTGAATTGGGGTTTGAATTTCTAAAAATAAAAAATAAATTAATTCATTGCGTGGCTTCGGTGTGGATAAACGATGGGGCAACATGTTGCAAACAATGAGCGTAAAGCTAAAAATCAGCTTTTCAAGCGGTTTTGATTCCATGTCTATGTGGCCTAATCCAATCATTGGATCGCAAATCAGAGAAATTTTTTGAAATTTTTTTGGGGTGAATAGAAAGGTTTGAATATGCGGTTAAGTACCCAGGACTCTTTGTGATGGCGTTGTTAAATTATCCATCTGTTGACGTGAACTCCTCTGAAAATCTCTTTTGTTACCACTTGGTTTCTTCTCATCTGTTAAATAAAAAATTGAGTCATTTTCCAAATTTATCCATTTGACACTTTGAAGCAACAGAGAGTTTATCACAATTTATTCAACAATATTACCGTATAGGATTACACCGCCTGTATCTGATGACAAAATCCTATTTATCCTTATTTATCACCCACATTAGTCATGTAATAAATATATCAGTACAGTCACATACATCAACCAAATCATTGAATTAAGGTTACGAAACTCACCACGAACACATCGTCCCATGATATTTTCGTAAATCCAAGATCTGACAGGGCTTAGTTTCTCCCACACGTAATCAGGGCCATCAGAATATAGGAAAGGATTGAGGCCGCTGTTGATCGGAATAATAATCAAACCTGCAGGAACGTATGCATCATATGGTATGTTGATGCCTGGATAGAGAGAAAGATAACGTATGCATAATATGATATTTTGATGCTTTTATAAAAAAAAAGATATTCTAGTATAACGGATTAATCACGCATTGAAAAAATTTAAATTCATTCAAAAATTGATTTAAAATAAAATTCTTGAAGACGGTGATTCCACATAAAGTTTTCTCACCAGAAACTTGTAAGAAGCCCATTATGCAGACAGGCATCCAGCAGAGAAAATCAGTGAGAATAATCCGACTAATTTTTTGTTGCATTTTTATTGCTCTTTCTGCCTTTAATTTGTCGCTGACGGCAGCATTCTTTTCTTGTGTTTTCCTGAAATATTCAAAAATCAATAATCCAAGTCAATCCATTCATCTTGCGGACTGTCCCTGTTAACATGTTTACTGCTATTTAATATACCAGCAAAACAAACTGCGGGTAAGGTTTTTACATGCCAGAAACGAGAAGTATCACCAACAGACAAAAAATGATTGCCTGAAGTATGGCAAAAGCACCTGCAAACGTACACTAAGTTCATGGTAGTGTTACTAATAAATGTGACAATGATGTCTGTCTTCTCCTTCCCCCTGAGGTGTCGAGTAAAACATTAACTCAGATTTTTTTATCCTAATGATGAATTTATTTGTAAAATACATATTTTATCCTGCATTAGCCATATCTCAAAAAGATCAGCTTCTTTTATCTTTGATATATTTTCCAATCGATAAATATTACAAACACACCTGTATATTTTGACGTATCCGACAAAGATGACGAAGAATGCCAAAAAGTTCATGATCAGGATGAACAGTGAATACAACCAAGCAGTGTCAGTATCAGGGTTTGGGAACAAAGTGGGAAGGCAAACCCCGTGAGTGGAGTAATATCCAAACCTACGTTCAACCTTGTATGTCGAATTCAAATCGCTGATTAGAGATTCTAGCAACGACCATGTTCCAAGTTTTCTAAATAAATAAAAAGGATTTGTTATACAAACGATATTGATACAACACATGTTCAACCGCTGGTGGCTGGTATAAACCCATCACTTTATCGAGTGAGAAATTGGGCAGCTTGAACGTTCGTTTTTTATATGGGTCTTTAGAGAAAGTTTCGTTAAAAGAGAAAAAGTGCTTAAGAAACCTGATCATAATAAACATTAAATTGAAAATCATTTTTTTCTGAAAAATAATATAGAATAGCAGTTCGTACTCACTTTTCTATAGCTGGATCATCTTCAAATCTCTGTTTTGTTAGAAGTGCACGAGACAAATTTCCAACATCGTTTTTATTTATAGTTGAATACAAATGATGTCTGTCGTACCTAAAATATTTCAACCAGTCAACATGTCTGGTTTGCACTATGAAAGCTTATTCTAAACATGGAATGTGTGTTCAAAAAGATTAAGAGTTAACTTAAAATATCAAGTCAGTTCTCAATAGGTTATGATAAGTTTTATGGTATATGCCACTTTACCAGTTCTGATCAAGAAAGTCGCTATTAACAATTAAAGACTACTATTTCTATTACGAATAAAAGATCGGATCTTCTTACTTATACAAGTGTTGCTTTTCACTACGAAGCAAACGTTAAGAATTCAGTTCATTCTTTTTGTGTCTAAAAAGCAACAAATTCTACTTTCTCACCAAATGCTGTCGATAAAAAAGTCCTGAGTAAAATTGAAGACCGGAATCAATCCCAACAAGATGGAAATTACCCATGAAACTGCCATCAAACATGCGATCATCTTCATTGATGTTTCTTTTGCAAAAGGCCTGCCAAAACAAAACTCAAGAATTTTTATTGCTCAATTAAATAAAATTCACTTTATTTTATGTTTTTTTTATTTATTTTCTCTAGATTGTAGATAATCGAGGATGAAAATGTTTCAAAAATATCATGGCTTGTGTAAAAGCATATAAACAAATTTACCTCAGTACAGTTTTCATTCGAAATCCTGTAATAATGATTAGAGTAAATACAGAATTTTCTGATCCAATCAAAAGTAAAGTTCCAAGAGCAGAACATGTGGAACCACTTCGCCATTGTCTGTCCGTTTTACAATAATTCTTTGTTATTGTTGCATTCTTGATGCAAATGGCCAATGTATATATCTGTAAAATAGTATGATATTTATTATTTGTTATGAACTTAAATTCAGAACAAGTATTTACGAGGAATCTCAATGTATTCGTTGAACAATATTAGATGAGTACATCATGATAATTTAGTTCGCTAAGATTTCTTAAAAATTACGAAATGCTAAGTTGTTGAAATGAACAAAAAAATGCTATAGTCATATTTAGCAGAAAAATTAAATACATTTATTTATAGTTTTAAATCAGCAAAGTTCAAATAAATAAGTGTACGGGGATAATTATACTAAATATTGTTCACTTACCCCTACAAGTAAGTCCGAGAGTGATAAGTTAAATATCAAAGATTTGTTGATTAATTCAATCTTTGAAAGTTGTTTCTCAGGAAAGAAGATGTTTCGAATCGATCTGCTTGCCACGATTAAATTTCCAATAACAGCAAACAAACCTTCATGAAAAGTTAACATATATGAGATATAGCCAATAGCCAAGCAATCCAAGACAATTCTGTCAAGAATAGAGCTTGGCACAAACATTAAAGCTAAAGTTTAATGATTTTGGAAAAGAAATGATAATAAACACAAAAAAATAAAATTAATAAAATAGTATAATATATTTTTTTACTCTCTAGAAATTGAAATACGGTAATTCTTTTCAAAGTAACAATAATAATAATATGAGATGTTGAGTTGAAATTCGAAATAGTATTCATCATCATTCATAGTCAATACGATCAAATATAATCGAAGCTACGTATGTTAATTCTATTTCATAATGTATAGAATTAAATCAGTTAGCACACTGCATGATGAGACCAATGACCAAAAAATCCAAATTAAAATTTTCCATGAGAAATTCAGGAAATCACAATATTCAAATATCATGAAAACCTAAGAAGTTACTTCCAATGGACGAACTTTAAAATATAGATAACTCACTGATCATCCATGTAAATGCAACAAAGTATTTGTTGCTTATCATTAAATCAATATTGGAGAATGCACTAGAAATACATCTGTCAAGACATTCATCAACACCGCTTGTGCAGTCCTCGCTCCCATCGCAAACCTACTCAGACAAACAAGAAATTTGGATTCATTTACATAAAAACCAACCGTTAAATCTAGACATACTTAATAGGACACATTAGCGTGAATATTGAACAAAGGGTTTGTGAATTTAAGAAATAAATTAATTGAAATCTCAATTTTGAAGGTGTCACCTTGCAGAAATAAACAAATAACAAAACTGTTATTAATATAAGCGATAGTATCTTGCATTAACAAGAATAGCGTTTATAGCGTCAAATGTCATAGAGCTTTCAGTATACTGCTTTATAAACTCGGATTATATGACGAACCTGTTTTTTTGCTATGAATTTTGGTTCTTCTGTATCTTTGCAGTAGAAATGGGTTTTATTACTACAATTCATTTCATCGCTTGAATCTTCGCAATCCTGTTATTATACACGGAGAAATATAATCATTAGCTATTCATTTTTAGTATCTCAGCTTATTCAATAAAGTAATGTGATTTGGGGGCAAGTTCATGGCGTATCAGTTCACCAAATGATCATGAAATTGGTCTAAATTCATATAGATAACTTCATTATCAAAGTACAGCAATCTCCCTTTTATTTCTAGTCGTAAAGGATTCTGTAGACCAAACTATGCAAAACACCCCACACAGAAATTTCATTTTCAATAAACTAAAATATCACAAACATAGATTTATGAACGTTGTAATATTCAGGGATCAATAAGATACTATTCGCCATGGGTATAAAACATATATATTTTTTAACTTCACATAGATCAAATCTTTGCAACCCATAGTTCTAGGCAAAATTATTCTGGGGTTGAAATTAACCATATTGACTATTGAATTAAATTTTCACCTTTTGATTGTTGCACACCGTGCTATTTAATACATTTAATGTAGATCCTGAATTGCAATAAAACCTGCAAATGAAATTACTATTAAAGAATATAAGTAATTAAAAAAATCAATACAAGAAATCTGTTTAATTTCCGGGATTGCGATATCTAAATCTTTGGTGATTCCATTTGTAATAAAGTTTATTTATTTCTACGAGCTGTATTTGAGCAGTTTGTTTTGAGTATTTAATTGGAACTAACAAAGAAATACAAATATGACTGATTGTAAAATATTCGAACGTTTATTGCTAAAATTTCTTCTGACTGAAAACACAACATAACCAGAAAAATACCTATTCAAACAACTTTTTTCGTCTTCTCCACCAACGCAATCTTTTATTCCATTGCAAATTTGATTGGAATGGATCCATTTTCTGTCATGACACAGATATTGCGACCTGCCAACAAAAATTCTACAACAATTTGTACTCGATTTCAGGGGGGAAGCAGAATTTCAACAAGGTAGAATCATTTTTCATGATCGCGTATTATTTTATGTTCTATTATTAAGATAGTGATTATTTCATTATTTAATAGTTTTTCTTCATGTGAAATAATTTTAAGTGGCCATTTTTGTTTTCTAGAAACATAGAAAGTGCCCGATATTGAACTATATTTACGCAAATATATGTTATTATTTTCCGTTCCATTCATTTGAATTTTTGCCGGTCCTCGAGTACATTTTATTCAATTTTACCTTTCCGCCAGGATAGAAAGGTTGGGAACCACTGGTTTAAACACACGTGAAGTCATATGTGACAAGGCAATGCACCGGGTTTTTAGTAACACGCCGACATGAAGACCCAGTCAAGACATAAACACATTCGCGTTTACAACTTGATTAGTGCAACATAAAATATTTGTGACTGTGTCACGAGGAAAATATTCAAAATTTCGAAATATATTGTCCATTGCACATTAAGTTTTTTATAATGAAACGAAACTTTTTACAATAAATACTTGTCCCCATTCAGTTATTTATTGAAATATAGGAAAATTAAGTTGGTTGCATTTGACGAAAGTCGCAAGCCGAAAACAGGTGTGAAGAGTCAGAGGACATTTTCGGGCATAACGGAAAACCCGCTGTAAGTTTTCAATTAGATAAAAAATGCAAAGACACTGTGAATAAGAATTTATTTTGTTTATTCTGAACAGAATTGCGTGAGTCTAAATATCTTTGCTGAAACATTTTTAAGCTAGAAGGCACTCACGAACTTGTATAAAGGGATCTTCAACAGCTTCCCTGAGGTTGGAACACAGTTAATTCAGAGCGCTATAAAGAATTTATTGTAAGAGAATTGTAAGAAATTATTGTAATACAGCATACAAAAATGGTATACCCTGAGATTTATTGCTGCATTGTGCTGAATTGGAGTCAGTGTTTCAAGATTAGCTGAAATTTGACAAATTCGCAATGCCGTAAAATTACGAATCAAAACCGGGGCAGTTTATCCCAAATTTATGTCAGATAATTGCCGTTTATTTTGGATTAGTAATGCTTTGATTATGTTGACGGATGACGCAAGTGCTAGTTACTTTTACCATTATTAAATTATTATGGTAAAGAATTTTAAATGTCCGTCAAGATCATGGATTGAATATTTTCGCAACAAAAAATCATAATCCACTAAGAAGATGGAATATTTTAACGAGTTGGCAATCGCGAATAGTTTTATATGAGCATCTGTGTGGAATTTAAACGACAATTTAATTTTCGAACTCTCACGTTTCTTTTTGGAAGTCCTGGCGCACCTGCATCCAATAGTCCATTTTACCAGCGACACTCGTTAAGACCAGAGCGAAAAATGAAACGAGACAAATAATATTCTACGCCAAATGTTTTCATTACATAGTTTATTCACGGCCGGGCATTTCGTTTACACCAGAGGTCGGCAACCCTTTGTCGCTCGCGAGCCAAAATTGAAGGTTGCAAGTCTTGGTGAGTCGCACGGATTTTTTAAAAGTCAAAAACCAATATGCGCGCGAAGACTGTGACAATTCGTTAACTCAACTAAGTTATACTAAAAAAATATTACAAATCACATTTAATGTGACACGTGTTGTTGCATTATACGTGATAGCTTTTCGATATTAGGTGGCGCACTGGATGAAGCCAATATTAGAAATGTTTCTAAATGGGCATCACTAATCCGAGTTCTCAGATTTTTCTTTCTAATATTCATTTTCGAAAATAATTGTTCGCACGCATAGGCACTTCCAAACATCTATGTGAATTTTTTTGCATTGTTTGTCAAATTTGGATAGCTATTTTCTTCAAGAAGATACTTTTTATAAATATCAAGCAGTGATACAACTCTCAAATAAAATATGAATTTTATTTTCACATTGCATTGCATCTCAAAAAGCTCGATTTGAATATTTTCTACGTCATTACACCCTTCCTTCAGCATCAACTTTTTTGCGTGTTGCGATTTGTCGAATCATAAATAAATTGTAGTCTTGTTAAACGAGTAGCTTAATTGTTAGATTATAATATAATTTAGTCTACACGTGTCTCACAATAAACTCTGTTACGTAAGGAATGAAATCTACTCCTTGAGCGTATTTTTATATAATTTATTCATCGTCAAAACCGCCGTATTGCCGCTTCAATTCAGTAGAGCGTTGCGGGCGGGATAATGTTACTCTGCGGGCCGGAACTGGCCTGCGAGTCGTAAGTTGCCGACCCCTGGTTTACACCAAATATTCCTTTTCGGGATGCAGATAACAAACTGTTTCATAAATTAATGAATCAAGTTTGCAATTGAGCGTTAGGCCACACTCACTGTGAAGCTAGTATAATATATAATGGCTGATGAATAAACTCGGAAAATATAACAAATGAATCGAAACAATACTCGGCGGACACACGTGATATCAATTTAAAACTTCTTGTTCAAGTGCATATGATTACTATCTAAATTGCGACACTGCTTTGCTATAGTCATAGTCTATAACTATATATGAATTTATTTTGGCCAGATTTCAGCCCTTTTTTAGGAGCATTGAAGATTCTGTAATTTTACACCACACTGTTGGTTGATCTAAAAATTCTAGAATATTGGACTTCACTTACCCAGTAAATGAAAGTCGAGAGCAGAATGCTGGTTTGTTTGCACAATCCCTGCATTCTTCTTCCCATGGGAACGGACAATCAATGAATCCATCACACTTTTCTTCCTAGTCTTTCTAGGTGCATAAATAACAGTTAATGTAGTGATTAATCTGTGAGATTTAAATTATGATTTATTTTTTTGAACTTGCAGCCAACTAGGAACAGTATTTAATAATTTTAACAGAAAGATTTGATTAAACTCGAATAATTATTTGGGGGGACAATAATAAAACAATATTTCAAAATTATAGTGAAATTTAAAAATCCATGACTTATATAACCAACAGACTGCGAATATTATATTGTGACTTCATTATATTCATATGGATGACATTGATCTTTTTATTTTCACAATTAATGACTAGGTTCGGTAAACAATGAAAGTGTTTCGATAATTTATTCAACCCAAATGCTTTTAATATATAAAATAGTTTTCAATTAAATACTTTGTATTGTAACCTATCTGCAGAGCTAGGATTTGATTTGAATCGCGATTATCAATATGTTGTAAATAGGGCTGGGCGAAACACTGTCTCGAGACACTGATATGTCGAAACGCCGGTGTTTCGACTTTCGAAACGGTCATTATGACGTCATAACAAAATCAATATGAAATTAGTCAAGGTATCTTTCAGGGAAGTCCAATTCGAATTTATTATCCGAATTTTTTCAAATATTTCGAGCTTCGAAAATCGTTTTTAGTGTTTATAAGAATATTGAACCGCATGGATACGCCCTAGCGCCGCCGTTCACGTTTTGATCGAAAACATTTTTCAAATATTTCATTTTATGTTTTATCGTAACGAAGACGCCCTTTGCGACGCTGCAATAAATAATTGACGACATGAAAGGATTTAAGTCAGCGCCGACTTGAAGTACTTATAACACGTCAAGGATGTTTTTGATTGAAAATTCTTTACAATTATTATCGCATATTTCAACATAGTCAAGAATTAGTCTCGGATACCGCGGCAATGATTCTAAAATCAAATTGTGTCGTAATTATTCGTTTTCATCCTTATTTTCGATAGTGACCAAGCATAACGAAATTTTTTGCCTTTCTCGCAATTTACACCGTATGAAATAGCTCTTGACTATTTTTTTAGATCTATCGCGGATTTTATTGTTTGACTGGCGTCATTGATTATAATATTGTTCCGTTCAAGTTGGTGGTATTAATTTATAAAGAAAAGAAAATCAAAACAGTCGAAATGGAATATTTCAAGCAATGTTGGCTTTAACATTATAACACTTGAATCTCCGTCATTGGCGGATGGAAATGTGTGAATCGGGTCCACCCATTTGATTATGACGATGATCGCGTTATAACATTTGCGTTTTCTGAACTGACGTATAGTATAGCTTCGTAGGCAAAATAAAAAACAATGGCCATAGTAGTAGTAGCACAACAGCCAGTATCTGTGTGAAAAGGTAATTGTGGCGGAATTCAGCTCAACGATGTCAACGATATGACAGTCACGTTGACGATAAACAGCCAGAATTAGCTGTGTCGAAAAGTGCGTATGTCTTTAATGAGGACTTTGATTTTAGTGTAGAATTTGAAACAGTTCACTGGATGTCTAGTTGTTCTTCTTCCGAGCTTGCCAAAATGTACCACAACTCAAGAATACTGTAAGTGTAATGTTTAATAACATTATTGAAGACGAATTCCTATGTTTTTGGATTTTAGAAAAGTAAATAAAATATGCAGAATATAGTAGAAATTATGGTACCATATTACGCTGTACAATCATATATTTTTTCCGAATGAATGCGTAAAATACTATAGCATAGAACTCCAATTATCTAGGTGGATCGGAGAGTAAGTTTACCTTAGCAGCACTATTTTAAGCAACTCAAAATTTTTGGAACAAGCATTTAAAGTCTGAAAACAACCAAAAATGAGTAATATTTTAAAAGTTGATGTTGAGGACTCTAGGCTTTTGCCTAACTACATTTTACATTTATTTGATGGGTTACAGTGGTGCCATGTTTTACTGTTTGTGTCAAACTTGTGTTTCGTTTCGAAGCCAAAATTTCGTTTTGATTTCGAAACGCCAGTGTTTCGAAATTGCCCAGCCCAAGTTGTAAATAATGATTTAAACTTAGTCGTTCCCATTTTGCGCTAATTTAAATCAATAAAATATATCAACCTGAAACGGACACCAATAATAAGAATGAACTATAGTTATAGCAATGGTGAATAAAAAAGCATCATCGACATAGATTGGATAACATCCCGACACATGAAAGAACAACAACAATTAGATTTAATTGCTTATTATCGACTGACTAAGTCCAAATTAACATTTATTTTAAAATTTATCGCAACCAAACATCAACACATAGTTAATGTCAGAAGCAAGATCAACAATGATATATTTTAATTTTGAAAAGCCCTTATATATGAGATTTCCGATTCGGAAAGATACATGGAAGGTAGAAGATCACCAATACCTTGCGTCTTTCTATTTCAAAATCGCCATTTTGCTCTTCAATATATTAGCAGATGTCAGTTAAAGTACTGACAGCTAATTTTAGCCTAGCATTCAAAAATAGGTTACATGTGATTCATATGACAATGCCTGTGCCAAAATGCGAATCACAACAATAAAGGCAAAGTGGCTGACTGATGTTTTACTTCGCAAATAAATCAAAGCTAAAACGACGACAAATACAACAAACATAAGAATTCAAAGATATGTTTCGGGCGTTGCTTTTTGTGCAATAAAACATTGTGTTTTTCGTCATTTCTTATTGCATACCGATACCATTCTTATGTTTATGTCATACGTACAGTGTCTTGACGTTTGTTGAATACCAACAAGCCATGATGACCAGTCTGATGCTGATATATTTTAGTACAACGAGCACTTTAGTGAGCTTCGAGTAACAATATTTGCATATGTCATTTCTGGTCACCTGACTTCAGATATTAGGAGATCTTGCCGAAGTATAGCGCCGATCACTCGTAATGGCTCATGCGCCAACGATAGCAAACTCACCAACGCTAGCGCCCTCCCTTGTGAAAATATTGTACCGTCGATCTAACATTAAATATGGGAATCGGTTCCATTACATTTGAACCCACGTACATTTGAACCCATGACAATTGCACCTATGGAATTTTTTTGTTTTACGGATATTTGAACTCATACTCACCCTAACCCATGGGTTTTAGCAGCCGTATATAGATTGAACCCGCGGATATACGCATGGGTTCAAATGTACGTGGGTTCAAATGTACGTTTACCATTGGAGTCAAATGTGGCATATTCAAGCCTTGCTTTGAGTGAAAACGTATAAGAGACATTCTAGCATCCGTTGCTGAAATTGTCAAGCACTCACTTGATTTTATGCTGAAGCGCACAGTATCACTCACGGCATAAGTAGCCATTTTCAAACAAACCGTAATCGGTCCATGTTTGGTTGAAAAAGAAGATGAATAAGTTCAATCGGTGAATAAGGAATGTTTTGTGATCGCACTGGGGAAGTTCTGGGCATTCCTCAAAATAGGTGTGTGCAACGTTTAATACAGGTGGTTTAATACAAATAACTGGGTTAAACCGCGGGCGCATCTTTTTTCAACTAAGGCTTCCTGGTAGTTGCAGGCACAAAAATTCGGTTATTGATCTTATGACATGCGTTGTTCGCTTTGCACAAGCTAGATGGTTCTCAAAGTTTTTTTTCGCGACCCCAATGTTCATTAAATCTAAGCCTACAGATACTCGCGACCCCACAACTAGGAACTTTCAGCTATTTCAAAAATCAGTATATCAGTTTCAATTGCCGCAATGGGAACAATTGTATCTGTACATCGACTACAAGTAGACGTTGACGATGAACATCGGCTCAAAATTATATACGAACAACTCCGGCAATGCGCCGGAAAAACTGGGAAAAATCGGAAGATTTGAAGACACATGGACAAGACACATCGTATGTAAACCACGGTGTAAAAATCTCTTAGATCAGAATTATAAGGTTTTTTGGCGAGACATAGACGGACTTGATAAAATGTGGTAGATTGTGAGCATGCGTACGATACTTCGGAAATAGTAAGATTGCTCCTGAATATGCATAACTTTAAAATCTTATTTAGTACGGTGTCTTTATTATTTTTAGTTCAATGTTAACATATTACAGATTGCTCCATTCTTAATTCGAAAGTAAAACAGAGCATGAACGTAAAATAGGAAAAACATGTACGGAATCACAGCTTTTAAGTGACTTTTATTATGCTAGAACTTGTTGTGGTTTCGTGTATAACTGCTCGAAGCGCTACAAATTATGTATAAAACGTCTAACTACGAATATTGCAATACGAAGATGTTCACTTTTATGTGGAGGCGATGTTAACAAAAGACCTAGCCTTCTCGTAGAATTTAGACACGTGCGCGAATTAAATAACCGCTTTCGCCACTGATCAAAACCTAGTGTAATTACCCGGCCCAGGAACCGCCTGGCAATCAATACCATACTTGTCGAACACCTAGTCAAGGGCCAACCGCCAAATAAAGTTACTTCGCTTTTTATATTTGTTAACCAAGCGGCTACACTAGTACAAATGAACAAACCAACATAATTTCTCGCAGCCTGGAAAAATCTGCTTTGCGTACCAGCGGGTCAACTACTCATTCAGATGTAACATGATCAAAAAAACTATAAAAGGAAAAATACATTATTGGCGATCGCAACGCTGTCACTCAATTACATTTACTAATACCGGTACCTGCCGAGCTTTACCCAGTAACTTTAGCGCCGCTTCGACAATAAATGGTCGAGTTATTTCTAAAACATAAAAAGTTTTGCACTTGTACCGAACCTGCCGACTAAACAAATTTCACTTTCCAACTTTCAAATTCTAGTCACTTGTATGCGCATACCGGTGTAAGTCAAGATAATATAGTTCGTTTGAAATTGGGAGGGTTAATTTACAAACGGTGATGATGTAAAAGATAAAAATCAGAATAAAATAAGTTTAGTCCTGAATTCACTTCTTAATAGTTGTCGTTAACATACGTCATCGATGCGAACGCTTAGTTCTGCCAGGTATATAAAAACCAAACTTCGATATCTGCCGTTGTGTGAGAATTGATAATTGTAAAAGGAATATATGGGCGGAAATGTAAATTACAAACATTAGGATGGCTAGCGTTCTGGACTCCTGTTAGATATTAAAAATATTCGATATTTGATAAAAATATTTTATTTGCCAACCCTAGCGTTTTGTAATTTAATGTCGCCGTAAAGCCACTGCAATGTAACTTAATAAAAACTTTATTTAATTTAGTGAATTGCCTCTCCATAAAAAGTGCGGTGGAGTGGGGCGATTATTTCACATCTCAAGCACCGAATACGGTCATATTTTAGGTCGTTTTTGAGGCATGAAAATCTTATATGTCAACTTCAGTCTTTAAAAACGACTGTGCAATAAAGCAGGGATGTCCAACACGTCGGTCGCGATCGACCGGTCGACCGCCACGTCTCGAGTAGTCGATTGCGTCTGATATTGAGTGAATTCAATAACATACCCCAAAATTTGGCATTGAACCCAGTTTCATGAAGCGCCTGTTGTGCTTTAAAATAGGACGAATACAGTACTGTACATGGGTAAAATACTATATATACATCCTGCGCAGTATTTGAGTCTGCAGAAACCCGTTAGAGCACATTATCACCTAACAAATAAAACTTTCGCCGCTGTTATGGTTTATGAATAATAAACTTGCCGAATATAGTAAAATCTTGACTGAGAAACGATCCTACAATAGCTTCTTCAGTATGCGAATGTTGTTGTCTCACACCGAGAGTAAGTGTGATAAACTGTATTCGTAACTGTAACAGTGGGATCGGGAACGCCCAATATTTTTTCGGATTCTAAGCAATCGAACTTGGAGGAATTGTAAATTAGATACTCAAGTGCAAGTAGTCATGAAACATTTATAGTTTGAGAATAGTTATTTTTTCGCTTTTCAGATAATATGGATATTTGGCCCAGATTTTTTGAAGAACTTTCAACACTCGACTACAAAATGGGGCAGGATGTAGATCTGAATTGTATGATTCGAATAAATCTCAAATAAATGATGAAAATTTACTTCGGGTACAATTACATAATCAAATTAAATAGAACAAAAGTGCGCCCACAGAGTCGAGCTTATTGGCAGCGGTGAATATGTGTGTACAGTGTTTGCATATTCGTTCGTTTTTGTGAATGGCCTTATATTACATACCAGTCGATCGCTATCTAATTTGAAAATTAGTCGATTGCGGCCGAAAGCAAGTTGGCCACCCCTGCAATATAGTAAAAGCAATGATGTTTGTCATCAAATCATACTCGAGCTGTCCATGAAATTCGTAACGTAGAAAGATAGGCCAAGCGGCAAAAATTGAGTATTCAAATACTTTTTAGAATCGACTGCGAGGATGCATCAGACGTCCACGAGTACATTATTGTAAGAAAATAGTTATCACAGAGAAACCTATAACAATCGTTTGTTCCCGCTGCGAGTTGCGACTATCGCTCCTTGAAAACACAATGATATTTTGTAGGTGAAACACTAGATGTTGTTCAGGTTCAGAAAAAATATTGAGGAAGGCGTCCCATCCCTCGCACACCCCGGGTGTGTGTATAAAATGTGTATAAAACACTCCAAACAACTGACAAATTAAAGACTGGGAATTCTTGGTCGCGGGAAGATCATCTAGATTTAGAACAATATTCTAAAGAGAATAAAATGTTTACGCAAAACGTCCCAGATTTCGTTTTTTTTTATGGGAGAGGGGGCAATTTGTATGGTTTGTTCTTATCGGTCATAACTGATTTCGTTTTCAACTTAAAGGGGTGTGTTTTCAATCAGAACAAGAGAAAAAAATCCTAGGAAATTGGTTTGAACAATGTGCCTGTAACTTCACAATTGTCTGATTTTCTCGTTTTGTTTCCAGTGTTTCATTGTTTCACTATTAACGGTAAATTTGTCTTAATATATTAAATACAATGATTCACTGATATCAATATATCTTATGACTTCTTTCGTCGCACAAATGTTCATTTATTGAGAATTTATTTGAGAACAGATAAAACTCAACTCCCAATGAGATAGACATAGATAGACCAATATAAATGACGAAAATAAAAATGCTTGCATTTGTGAGGGTATGGTTTCTGTAGATCACCCGAAATTGTATACGGAAAAAGTCAAATATTTCTTGAAGAGGTGAATTGACAGCAATTGCAAAAAAGCACGAAAGAACATTTTGTTTTGTGTGAAGAATAAATGGGTATCAGAACACTGAATCCAAAGGATTCGATTCCCAAATTATTTGAAATCAGGGTGATCCGATAAAAGGATTTGTTCCAACTATTCGGCACCATTCGGCAATTTTTGTATTTCGTATACCTAATTTATTGATCAGAAACGCTCATTTGTTTTTCACGATGACATTGCTTTGGTTTTGCTTGCGTCCATTGAGTACACACGGTACGGTAGACATCACAAAATGTAATCTCAGTACACGGTCTCGGCCGGTATTTTTAAAAGAACAAAGCGTTATTATACCTGATGCAAAGACTCGTTATTATTGTACCATTTTAAAGTTTTCCAGCTTTACTATTTAATAAATATAATGATAATTATTGGTGACATCAGCAAATGATTTTTAGTGGTATACCAGTTCACCTGAAAAAATATATCTACCAAAAACTGGACGTGGAATGATGTCAAATTATTTGTATTAACTGCGATAAATCAGCATAGTATTTTCTGGTCATGCAAGCCCTTTTGACAAATTTTTGAATTATGTTTTACCTGCACAATTGTTTTCACAAT